ACCCAGCTAGTGTAAATCATTTAGACTAGCTCAGAATCTGGTCCCTTGGCTCGATTCTTGACTTATCCATGTGACCTGGAAGAAATCACTTATCTTGCTTGTGCCTTACTTTCTCCATCTGCAGGAAGAAGGATAAAAATCTAAAGTACTATTAAAATCATAAAGCCAAATTAATGCTCTATTTGGTCATGTCTTTTTATTAGGGCTGTCAAGCGATTAAAGGCACAATTAATTGCACTGTTAAACAATAATAGAATATCACTTACTTAAATATTTTTGGATGTTTTCTACATTTTCAAATATATTTATTTCAATTACAACACAGAATAAAAAGTACAGTACTCACTTTATATTTATTTTTGATTACAAGTATTTGCACTGTAAAAAAAACAAAGGAAATAGTATTTTCAGTTAATCTAATACAAGTACTGTAGTGCAATCTCTTTATCATGAAAGTTGAACTTACAAATGTAGAATTATGTACAAAAAAAAACTGCATTCAAAAATAGAACGATGTAAAATTTTAGAGCCTGCAAGGTCAGTCCTACTTCTTATTCAGCCAATCACTAAGACAAACAAGTTTGTTTACATTTGCAGAGATAATGCTACCCGCTTCTTGTTTACAATGCCACCTGAAAGTGAGAACAGGTGTTTGCATGGCACTGTTGTAGCTGGTGTCGCAAGATATTTACATGCTAGATGCACTAAAGATTCATATGTCCCTTCATGCTTCAACCCCCATTCCAGTGGACATGTATCCATTCTGATGATGGGTTCTGCTCAATAACAATCCAAAGCAGTGCAGACCAATGCATGTTCATTTTCATCATCTGAGTCAGATCCCACCAGCAGAAGGTTGATTTTCTTTTTTGGTGGTTCGAGTTCTGTAGTTTCCACATCGGAGTGTTTTAAGACTCTTTTAAGACTTCTGAAAGCATGCTCCACACCTCATCCCTCTCAGATTTTGGAGAGCACTTCAGATTCTTAAACCTTGGGATGGTTAGAAATCCCACATTGGCACCTTCTTTGCGTTTTGTGAAATTAGGGTGACCAGACAGCAGTTGTGAAAAATCGGGACGAGGGTAGGGGTGTAATAGGAGCCTATATAAGAAAAAGACCCAAGAATCGGGATTGGCCCTATAAAATCGGGACATCTGGTCACCCTATGTGAAATCTACAGTGAAAGTGTTCTTAAAACGAACATGTGCTGGGTCATCATCTGAGACTGCAATAACATGAAATATTGCAGAATGTGGGTAAAACAGAGCAGGAGACATACAATTCTCCCCCCAGGGAGTTCAGAAACATTTTTTAATTAACACATTTTTTTTAAACAAGCATCATCAGCATGGAAGCATTTCCTCTGGAATGGCGGCTGAAGCGTGAAGGGGCATATGAATGTTTAGCATATCTGGCACGTAAATACCTTGCAATGCCGGCTACAAAAGTGCCATGCAAATGCCTGTTCTCACTTTCTGGTGACATTGTAAATAAGAAGAGGGCAGCATTATCTCCTATAAATGTAAACAAACTTGTTTGTCTTAGTGATTGGCTGAACAAGAAGTAGGACTGAGTGGACTTGTAGACTAAAATTTTATATTCTGTTTGAGTGTAGTTATGTAACAAACAAACAAAAAATCTACATTTGTAAGTTGCACTTTCACCACAAAGATTGCACTACAGTACTTGTATGAGGTGAATTGAAAAATACTATTTTATCATTTTTAGTGCAAATATTTGTAATAAATATACACTTTGATTTCAATTACAACACATAATACAATGTATATGAAAATGTAGAAAACATGCAAAATATTAAATTTCAATTGGTATTCTATTGTTTAACAGTGCAGTTAAAACAGTGATTAATCACAATTATTTTTTTTAATCGCAATTTTTTTTTTTAGTTAATTGCGTGAGTTAACTGCGATTAATCGACAGCCCTGCTTTTTAATCCTTGCTTTCACCTTCACTCTGAGGTGAGAACAGTTTGTCTATTTATGTGCCTCTCAACAGACGTGTTGGGCCTCCACAAATAGTAAAGAGTGTTGTCTAATGGTTAGAGCAGGGGACCCAATTAGGGCACAAGTATTTCTATTCCTGGTTCTGCCATTGAGTCATTTTGTGATCTTAAGCATGTCAGTTATACACTTAGAGAATGTGTGTAAACCTGCCATAAAATTCAATTGCAGAGCACTTAGGCATCCTTGGATGAAAGATGCTGCCTAAGCATAAGTCTACGCAGCAGAGGTAACCCAGGCGTCAACTTTAACTCCTCTACCATTCACATACAAAAACCTCCAACACAGGTTTGGAGGTGCTTTAAGCCTGACCTAGCTGGGGGTGTGGGTTAGAGGCTAGGCTCTGCTTTAACTATGCCTGGAATGCACCCACTTTGCAGTGAGAAAACAGGCTCAGTTGCTGATGGTCCCCCAAATGCCTCCCCGGCAAAGAACAGAAAAGTTCTCCGGGAGTTGACTAGGAAAGAATCCTAGAGTGTTCAGCACAGCACTTGGCGCCTGCAAAGGGTGTCACTTCTTTATTGCTCCCTGCTGTCAGAGCATGGTTCTTCATCTCCTGTACCCCATTGACAACTTCTTTGGCCCTGTGATGGCATATCTCTGGCTATACCTTCCATGGTCCAGCCCTCCAGCCACGTCACCTCTTTCCAGTTCTGTTCCCTTTCAAGGTAACCAAAGTCCAACTAAAGAATCCATACCAACATGCAAACAGAAGATCCTTCTGCACCTCTTGCACTACCTTGAAGTTCCCTGCTCTTCACCTCTATTCCCTGCGACTACACAGTTCCTTCTTTTCTCCTTTGGCTGAGCACTGCCTCCCAGGCCTTTCCTTACAGGCAATTTTCCCTTGCAGGTCTCCCCACTGCTTCCCCTCCCAAGGGACTCCGGTAGCGTCTTTGGAGACCTCCCTGCTTCTTACAAGCCATAACTCAGGGTCTCCCACAGGTACCTGCCTTGCTATCTGTGGTTCTCTCAAGCCTGCCTTCACAGAGAGAGGGAGGGAACTCTCCTTGCTCGTCACTGAGTTCTCTCCCATTTCTGTGTAGTCCTCCCTGGACCCTTCACAGCTAGGATTGCTAATTGTAATTGAGTCCCCAGATCAGGCTCAGTGGGGATTAACTGCACTGTTACAGTGCAACTTCATTTTCCTAGCTGAAGAAGATTGTACATCAGGTGGCAAACCACCTATTGTGGATTAAAGGATGTTGACAAAGCTGTTTGGGTGCCAGACAACAAATCAGGCCTCATGTATATTTGAAGAGACAAAATCTGGAGTTTGTCCGGGGTCATGCGGGAACCTTGTATTTATGCCATTGATTCTTTGCTATTTCTGCTATCACATTCTGAGAACAAGACTATTTTAAGGGATGCTTTTTACTATCTTGTTGAAACAACCTATTCAATATCAAATGGACCATCTAATTGGAGTAAGAGTCTGAGCACCCGTGGCCCCCCAGCCCAAGTTTTGGTTAGGGGTATATAGTAAAAAAGTCATGGACAGGTCAGAGGCCATGAATTTTTGTTTATTCCCTGTGACCTGTCCGTGACTTTTACTAAAAATACCCATGACTAAAACATAGCCTTAATAATGGGTCTCCATTGTTAACAGTCAGTCAAGAAGGATGAAGGTTCTTGCATGTATGTGTAGCATGAACACATCACTTATTCTCTCTGGGCCAAATTCAGGTGCCATATAAGTAAATACTCTTCAATTGCCTTAATGGCAGTTCACCCATTTGTACTCAGTCTGAATTGATCCACTATAGCCCCCCAGTAGCCCAGCTGGAAAATGGGGATAAAGCGGTTTATCCCTATCTCACAAGGAGGTAGTGAGAATTAATTAGCTACTAGGATTATCACTACTGGGGGGAGGGATAGCTCAGTGGTTTGAGTATTAGCCTGCTAAACCCAGGGTTGTGAGTTCAATCTTTGAAGAGGCCATTTAGGGATCTGGGGCAAAAAAAATCTGTCAGGGACAGTACTTGGTCCTGCTGTGAAGGCAGGGGACTGGACAATATGACCTTTCAAGATCCCTTCCAGGTCTATGAGATAGGTATATCTCCATATTATACTATCTGAACAGCATTTTGAAGATACAAAGTGTTAACAATTAATACTTAGTGCTTGTTTATGGGTAATACCTCTCTTGCACCCTCTTGAGGAGAAGATGGGCACTGTTCTTGTCAGGGTGCGGCAGCGGCAGGGAACGGCTGTCTCCCTGTATTACATTACTGTGGAATTGTTCCAGAGTTTGGAGCACAGCTCACTGCTTTGGGGTCTCCCCCGCATACAGGGGCAGGAGGTGAAAAAAGGGCAAATAAATAAGTCAGGATGTTCCCACAATTCCCAAGAGGCAGAATCCACAACTTTTGGAAAGCAAAGGGTTATATTTAAAAAAACACACACACACACACACACCAAACCCTCTCCTTTCTGGGAGGACCTGAGTGGTCAGAGTTCTCAAGCAGTTTCCCCAGTTAGCAACCCCTTCTTGTTAGGTACTCCGAGTTCCGGGCCTACTCCTTCAGAGTACCACCTCAAACTGACCTGGAAGCCTCCCTTTGCAGGCTTGCCAAACCTCACGGGTGTGCTGGATTGCTGCAGATTGTGCCCAGACAAGCTATTAATCCCCTTCATGACTCCTGTAGTGAGTTGCCCTACTACACCTTGGAAAGATTCCATTTCTCTTGCTGTGACCATTCAAGGATGGAGGGTTGCACACAAATACATGTCTTGTTGAAAGGGCTTATAACCAGGAGATCTTTGTTTTTAAAGAGTTTTGTTTCAGGAGTACGAAGTGAAATTGCTGAAGCCTTCATGGATTTCAACCTAATTCTGTTGTCAGTGCTGAGAAGATATACAAGTCAGTAAGAGCTCCCAGAAGAGAGTGATGCTGTGCAGTGACGTAAAAACCTGAACTCAGCTCCCCCCACCAAAAAAAAAAAGACTAATTTCTCCCCCCATCTTATCAAATTGTAGATGTCCCTGGTTCCATGCCAAATGCATCCTGGGAAGGTAACCTGAGAGCTATCAAGTGGAGCGATAAGGAAAACTCTCATGGAGGTTGTCATGGTAATGTGTATATTCTTTACTTTTCCTTTTCCTATTTTTGCACTGAAATCTGAGAACTGGGTGGGAAATGATTTTTCTGTCCCGCAAATATTTGAGATTTCAGAAGCTTTGCCGTTCCACATCAGCATGAAGCGGACACTTTTGGAAGTTAAACAAAAAAGGGCAGCAAGAGAGAGGCCAGCACCCCAGAATAACCCAGTGGTTATAGCATGCACCTGGGATGTGGGAAACCTCAGTTCAGATGCTGCTCTGCCATTCTCCACACCCCAGGTGAGTGCGCTCACCAGCAGGATATTGGCTATTCTGCAATGGGTCTCACTGTTTTTCCTGTTGGAGCTTATAAATAAAGACTCAATGGCGCAGGGACTTGACGCTAGGTCTCCCACAGCCCAGGGGAGTTCCATAACCACTGAGCTATTCTGCAGTGTGGGTGGTTTGTGATTTTTTTTCCTTCTCCCTCTCTCACCCCAGAAATTCCTTCCTGCACCCAATAAACATTTCCCAATGAAAGTTTCATTGAAACTGGTATGTTCCCCTGGAAAATTTGGGTTTTGACAGATCAACAGTTTCTGACAAAATAAGTGGCATCAGAAAATTCCCAGCCAGCTCTGTTGGTAACTGAGCAGCTATACAATTCTTCTCAGGAATTTTTTAGCCCTTTCTTTAAATCTGTGCTATAATCATATATAAGCATGGAGATATTCTCCTTTGTAAAATGGGGATCATCATTAACTAACCATATAAACGAACCGGCTTATGATCGAGTATATAAGCCGACCCTCTCTCTCCCCCACCCCTAAGATGGACAAGTAAAAATGGAAAATTTTTATAATGTGTTCATAAGATGACCCTATAATTCAGGGGTCAGCAAACTTTGGCCCATGGGCCATCAGGATAAGCCGCTGGTGGGCCGAGATGGTTTGTTTACCTTGAGCGTCCGCAGGCACAGAGGTAAACCTAAGTAAACAAAGTGTCCCAGTGCACCAGCTGCTTACCCTGATGGGCCGGGACAGCAACTGGTGGGGACGTTTTTTTGGGGGAGGGGGAGAAAGAGAGCTGGGAGTCAGGGGAGTAACCCCTGTGACCACCCCCCACATGACCCCACCCCTAGCCCAGGACCCCCACACTCTCCCCATCCCATCCCTTCCCATGTTATCTGGTGAGGAGGTCTCTGGCCTGGTTGGAGCTGCTCCGGCAGGCTGGGCAGCGCGGCTGCAGCCTGCTCCGGCGTGCCAGACCGGGCGGCACGGCCACAGCATGTTCCAGCGGGTTGGGCTGGATGGCATGGCCACAGTGTGCTCTGGGGGGCGGGGCCAAGCAGCACGGCTGCAGCCTGCCAGCCCCGGAGCTGCAGCTGCGTTAGAGACTGGGGGGGGCGGAGTGGGGGGAGGGAGGGAGAGAGAGAGAAGAGAGCAGAGAGCAGCATGGCCAGAAGCACAGAGACTCTGCCCCGCCTCTTCCCTTCTGGCTGTGCTGCCTCTCTTTGCTCCCTCTGTTGCAGGGAGGGGCTGTGTGCCACCTCTCCCTCTCTATACCCGTTCGTAAGCCGACCCCCTTCTCTGGTGCTTCCCTTTTTTACTAAAAAAATTCGGCTTATGAACGGGTATATACGGTAATTCATAGGCATAATGAGACTCACTAAACAAGTATCTGTAAGCAATCTTAAGTTGGAAGATGCTATAGAAGTGCAAAATGCTCATTATTACTGTAGAATCCTGACATACATATACATTTGCCGCAATCCTGCATTTGTACTTCAGACTAGGTAAGACAGGGATCATGATTTATGGTAGAGCAAGGAGACTGCAGATCCTAGGATTCTATCTCTGGCTGAGTCACAAGGAGTATCTACTATGGAAGGTTTAATTTCTAGCTTGAATAGATGTACCCGCAGTAAGACTGATCCAGTTAGTATGATGAAAATAGAAGTGAAGGTATGGCAGTATGAGCAGCAGGACAGGCTAGCTGCCTCGAATACAATACCATTGGGACCATTCTGTAACATTTGGGCAGCTAGCCCCTCCCACTGCTTGCATTGCTACAGCTACACTTCTGTTTTTAGTACCCTAGCTTGATCAAATTGTACCTTCCAGCAACTGCTTAGATGTGTCCACAGACTTACTATGTATCTGAGTGATTCACTTGACTTCCTTATGAATCAGTGCACCCAGCTGTAAAAACAAACAAACAAACAAAAAGAGTAAAATGAAATCCTTCTTACAACAAATGCTACTTTTGAGCGGAGCTTCCAGGCTCTTACATAGATGAACTAACGAACATATCAGAGCATCTACCATTTAGCAAATTAAGACAGTGGGCCTAATTAGCTACTGGATCACTATAGTTTTGTGCCAGTGTAGCGCCACTTACATCAATGGAATTACATCAGTTTAAAACTGAAGTACGTCAGTGGAAAACCTGAGTCCTAGAATCATAGAAATTAGAGATGGAAAAAACCTTGCTGAATCATTTGGCCCTATAGCTGTACTGATTTGTTTGGGCTAGTTTTAAATGTCTTCGGTGATGATGTTTTCATTCTTATAGACAGGGGTGAAAGTGACATTAAGCACTTACTGGTATGGGGGCGAGCTCCAGCCCCCAGAAGGGGTGGGGCCTCAGGTGGAAGGGGCGGGGCTGGCGGTCAGCATTCCCCCAACCAGCCCATCTGCACTGCCTCGCCCATGCTGCCCAGGGCTCCAATGGCGATTTAAAGTGCCTGGGGCTCTGTCCGCTGCTGCAGAGCAGCCAGAGTCCCAAGCCCTTTAAAATCACGGCCTCAGGGCATCTGCTCCTTTTGTCCCCCTCATCGGCAGCCTGAGGGAAGTCGGGGGAGCAAAAGGGGCAATGACGTTAAAATGCTGCCATGGCAGCACTTTAAGCAGGGTCCTTTGCCACAGCACTTTAAGGACCCTGCTTAAAGCGCTTGCCACGGCAGCGCTTTAACGTCAGCTGAGTACGGGCTGGTTCCGGTGGCCACTTTTTAGCGGCACGCTGTACCAGCTTACTTTCACCCCTGCTTATAGATCTCATTGTTTGGACATTTTTCTTGGTCACCCTAGATTAGCTATTTTTTTTTTTAACTTCATGCCACCACTCAGTTATTATTCCCCTATTCACTTCTGACCAAATTCAGATCTGGTGTAAATGGGCTTCACTCCACTGAAGTTAACCGATTTATCATAAGGATGAATTTGACTCATCTCTTTTCCACAGAACACCCTATGTATTTGATGTTGCTCTTGTCATCTCTTTCCTTTGCAGGTCATTATGTCAGAAGCATTTGTATATATGGAACAGGTGACCTAAAGTGGCTATTTAAGTCTGTAAGCATGTTTGCTAACAAGTTTGAACTCAAAACATACCCACTCACTGTAGAATGCCTGGAACTGAGGCTTCGAGAGAGAGCACTGAACCAGAGCGAAACGCAGGTGAAACCAAGTTGGTACTTTTAAATTAACAACTCAGAATGGAAATAAAACTCCAGCTGCAGTAGCTCGGGAAGAATAACCTCCCCGGAAAGACTTTTCTTCTGGAACTTCAGTACGGGTAGTTTGTAATGTCTTGAGTGGAAGGTTTGAGTGCAGATCATACAACACTGGAGAGACCTAAAGAGGAGGCTGAGGAAATGGTTCTGTTGGCTTTGCTATATTTGCACGTTTGGCATGTGTGGCTGGATGGCACCTTACTGACTTGTGCCGGGCAAAAATGTCATCGCTATCATGTTCTGTATATTTATATGTAAAAATCACGCATCCCTAAATTTTCATACAGCAACATAAAATCCAGAGCATACTAATGAGGAAGAGTTATCCTTTGAAGGAAACCATCACCATCAACAAGATCTTAAAGATAAATCTAGGTGCAGTTTGATGACTCCATACGTACAGAAACAAAAATCACTGACCCCCCCCCCCACACACCCAAAATCCCTCTGCCAAATGTTTGTAGGGTAATAGCATTTGGTATTTTTGACTCTCTAAATGGGCAGCATAGGGCCTGTGGGAAGCAGGAGAAATGCTTCCAGATCTGCTGGATCCCTTCCAAAGCATTCTGGGGGTGGGGGAAAGCACCTGGGAGTTAAACATTTTCATACTGATAACTCTGAGCTTTTAAGAATAACTCAATCACTCCATCTTATACTGTGAAACATGCTAATAGTCTCTCTGAGTTTTATTTTCCTAGACTGTATATACTTAGCACAGAAAATCCCTGTTAGCTGTTGGTTATACTGTATTAAGATTTCCCCCCCCCTACATGCCAACCACTAGATATGTAAGCAGGTCTGATGTTCCAGCTACACATGCAAAGCTCCCTGAAGACAACTGAAAGTCTCAATAGACCAGCCAGGACATTGCCTGGTACGCAGCAGACAAAAACAAAAAGCAAAAAAACCCACCACAGCCACCCCACAGCTAGAACTTTCAAAAATATTTTAAGTTTCCCATACCTGATGGATAGTACATATAGTTTTCACGCTAATGTTCCTCACTCTGAGGACCCCCTTATTTTTCTGGAAAAGTCAAAGGAAAACAAAGCAAAAACACAAAATAAAACTACAGTTGTGGGCACCTCTTCCTTTAGTTGTGGAAGATGGTATGTATGCCAAATTCTAGGCACATAATACTAAGGAGTTTCAGACTGTGCCATCACAAAGGCATTCAAATAGACTATTTTCACGGCAGAAACTTGGACTCAACTCCTGTTCAACTTCGCTAATGGAAGAATTTCCTGACAGCAAAGCTGGCACAACAAGCAGCCTGTGGAAGCTACAGAAAGAGGAAGAAGAGAGAGAGATGGGACAGTAGAATGATTTTTCAAAAGTGACTAGTAATTTCGGGGGTTGTAGGGGGCCTTCACTTTTGGCTGCCCAATTTGAGACTCTTTAAAGGGGCCTGATTTTTTAGAAGACAGGGGCTCAGCTCTTTCCAGCAGTGATATCTCAAGTTGGGCACCCAGAAATGGAGACACACAAAGCTAAAAGTCACTTCTGAAAATGTAGGCCAAGATTTAAAGGGAAGGGATCCTGACAACCTGATCAGAATAATTGTAGTACCACAATGTGCAAAGAGGGCAGGAGGTAGAAGTGGACTGTCCCAGACTGAGAACCAGAGGCAAATAAGGGATAATAAAACCAACAAGAGCAGAAGCAGCAAGTCCAGCAATTTAAGAGACCAACAACAGGATATTTTGCACTGAACTCTCTTAAAATGAGCAGGACCAAGTGGATCCAGTCTTGAAAGATCTCACATTTTCCCATTTGAGTAACGTGATAGCAGAATTCTGAACACTTAGCAACTCACAAAGCAAAGCTGTTTGTTGATAGTTAATACTGCTGGCCTATGTACTGGCACAATCCAACTCCTGTTAATGTCTCTTCCTTGAATGATAGTCAATATATTTTCATGGAAATAAATTATTTTGATTTCATCATGTAACTGTGTGTGGATTTGTTTTGGGCCTGTGGCACCAGGTGGTAGCCATTGTATTATTTTAAGGAAGATAATTAAATTAAAATACAACTTGCAGCTAAGTGAGAGACTACTACAACAACAGAATTAAAGGGGGAGGGAAGTAACACTGCATATGAATGTGAGATTTAGATTTGCACCGAGCACCTCTGGAAGTTATTTATCACCACCTTTATTCTCAATTGATATCCTATATCACAGCTAGTTATAGCAGGTCAGACAGTTACCCTGTTACATCAGTCTGCAAATATATTTGAGAATGGGGTTAAAACCGTGGATTTAACTCCCCCTGGTCTTTCTCCTGTAGACATTTATACCTGTGCACAGTGGGCTAAATACACAACTATTTTGATTCGGTAACACTTTGCACACACTCAACACATGTGCAAGTCACTATGCAAGATGCTAAGCAAGGGAGAATCAGGCCTGGTATCTCTGGGCCTCTCAATGCTTTAAGATTTGTGAAGAGAGAAGATAAAGGAAAAAACTGCTTTCCTGGTGCTGTCTGTAGTGGACTTTCATCCTACATCATCTTCAGGTACAGTTTTTAGAAGCATCCTCAGGAGTCTAAATCTCTCTAGCTGCGGCTTTGCACCTATGAAACATCTGTAGCCACAAACGGTCTATATGAAGTTACATGTAGTCAGACAGGGAAATGGAAAAACTTTTGCTTAAATGCATTTCAGTAGTTCCAAAAATTCCCCACCTCTAGAAACAGAAAGAGGCTCCTTTCTGCTCTGGCTATGTTTGTGATAACAGAAGCATACATCACTGAAATAATTAAAAAAAAATAGACAAGCAGCCTACATTCAGTTTACAGTGTCACCTATGATTGTACAGGACAGTTACCCAGATGACCTTCAGTCATACTCCATCGCATGTTTTTCAACTTTACATTTTTTTTTTAAATCTCCAAGCCAAGCAATATACACAGAGCTAGCTACACCTGGTACTTTCCATATGCTGCCCTTAGTTCGAGTCACCTTGTACGGTTACATTAATTCATTATTATTAAAGGATTAATAATCCATACTTAATATATTTAAGGCCTGAATCTCTCTGAGCAGAGGTTACTGCCTCAGAGATTTTTGTTATGGGGGTTTCCACAGTTAAGTTCTATAGCTACAAATGGTAAACCTGTGACAGGATTGTGAGAGAAATCCTGGCCTCATTCAAGTCAATGGCAGTTTTCCATTGTCTTGTATGTGATCAGGATGTCACCCTTTGACTTTGTAACTTGAACTCATTATACAATTCTACTAATAGAGACCATAAAATGGCCTGTTCATGTTTTACTCCCAGAAATGTATTTACTTAACACCCAAAGATCATTGGCTGGTATTAAACTCATTTGTGTAATTAATAGGAGGCAGTGTGTCTGGAAATGACAACCGAACAGACCAAAAATATGGCACCAACAGGTAAAGAGTGAATGGCTCAACACCTGGTGTCACAGTTTCAGGGTAACTATATTTGTATGTCTCCCCACCCCCATGGTCCACTCCAGGAGGGCTCAGTCAAGTCTCAGGTCTATAGCCATATCTGTCTCTGGACAGGGACTCTCATCCCACTCCCTTCTGACTGCAGTTTTAAGGCTGCATAGTTCCCTGCCTTACACTGAGATAGTCCCAGCAAGCTGTCTTTCTAAAGCACTTGTCCTTTGTTTTCACTCCAAGGGCTGTGATCCATGCATTGCCAGCAATTACAACTTACCATACAGCTCTTTCTAAGCAAGCACATTTATTCTTAAGGTTAAAACATTACAGCTAAAACAAAAGTAAACAGATTTAAACACACATTAAACATACCAGGAGTCACCCATTAGTCTGTCGGGACCCTAGTAGGGAAAGTGTTTCCAATTTTCCACAAGGGTTGGGATCCCCCTTGGACAGAAGGTCCTGTTTGCTGGATAAGAAAGAAGGCCCAGAGTAAGTTTAAACTAGGGTTACCATACGTCCGTTTTTTCCCCGGACATGTCCGGCTTTTCAGCAATCAAACCTCCGTCGGGGGAATTGCCAAAAAGCCAAACATGTCCGGGAAAAATACCGGACGGGCACTTCCTCGCCCGTGGCTGCTCTGCTCCTCCCCTGACTCAGACTTCGGCTCTGTTTAAGAGCCAAGCTGCCCAAGCCAGCACTACCGGCTTCAGGCAGCCCCCGTGCCGCCGGGCACTTCCCTTCCCGGGCTCCAGCTGCTCTGCTCCGGCGGCACAGGGTCCAGAGGCACGGGGGCTGCCCGAAGCCCGAGCGCTACCAGCTTCACGGTTTGCCGGGCAGCCTCCAGACCCTGCGCCCCTGGCTGGGCACTTCCCCTCCCGGGCTCCAGCTGCGCTGGGGAAGCGGCGGCCGGGGGCGCAGGGTCTGGAGGCTGCCCGGCAAACCATGAAGCCGGTAGCACTCGGACAGCCCTTTTCGCGTGGCTGGGAGGGAGGAGGGGGAGTTAGGGCGGGGACTTTGGGAAAGGGGCGGGGAAGGGGCAGAGTTGGGGCGGGGCCGGGGGCGGGAAAGGGGCGGGGCCAGGGGCCATGGAGTGTCCTCTTTTTTATTTTTTAAATATAGTAACCCTATTTAAACCAATATTTTTCTATCAAAAGCCCTTCCATTGTCTGTTGGGTTTCTGGAAAACCCAGTCTGAACCAGTCTATGCAAGCCTCCCCAGGCGGTGGTACCTCTCTGGAGATCTTTACAACCTAAGTGATTTGCCTTAATCACTCCCCACTGTTTTTGGTTCCTGAAGGAGCTATGGTAACCCTCCTCCCTGGGATTGCATACAATCCTTGGCTTATAGTGATGCATAAACTTAATATAATATAATCTCCAAAGATATTGCATGTGGTAACAATATGTCACATCAAGCATGGGGCTAGAGTTCCAGAAAGCCCCAGGATGGCTCCCCTTTTCAAGAACAGTTTTTCACCTACAAATGAATTATGGGCACAGATATAAGCAATTGAGTGGCTAAATGCTGCATGCATTTTAGCAAGTTACATTGCAAGCCCAAGCTCCATTATTCACAATTGCAATGGGGTGGGGGTGCAAAAATGCATGTCAAACTTGTGCCCACAAGAGAGGTCAGGCTTTTGAACATATAGTCCATATTCTTGATAGCTCAGTACCACTGAAAATGGATTGTGAAGGGGCAAGGAGAAGACAGAGTGAGTACAACAAGGGAATGTGAGGAAGGGATGGAAGCTGAAGAGGTGCAGAGGCGATTGGGGGTTTCAGGAGAGAGGGGCAAGGGCAGGCAGAGAAACTGAGGGAGCAGAGGAAGAGAGACATCAAAAGAGTTGGGAGACAATGAAGGGGGAAGAGAGGGGAAAATATAGAAGAGGTAAGTGCAGGTAGCATGGTGGGAGAATGTGAAGAGGAACACGAGACTGGTGGGGTTAATTAAATAGAAGGAATACTGTTTGGATTGTATTATTCCTTTTCATACTTATTTCTGAATTTACCTTAATCAGTTACAGACTTTCTAGTTTGCCACAGATGCCAGGGTCATAAGATAGAAGCTCAAGATTCTAAGCGAATCATCTGTGGCTGGATTCTAAGCTTCACAAAGTTTATTAAGAACATAGCTTCCTCTTTCCATTTCATTAGGCAGCCAATATACAGTGCATTTTAGTCACCAGACCTGCCAAATAAAGTCTTCCTTTGTTGATTTAAAGCTTTTCCCCATAAAAATGCAGCTTAGGAGAGGAGGTGGCTTGTTTTGGAGTACAATTAAACTACGTAAAGATAACAGTGTTGAAGTGACCACAACACACACCCTAGTCATATTTATCTTCCACACCTAGAAGACAAGAATTTCAAGTTTCCTCCTACCTAAGTGTTTATTTTCTGTATTCTAATAATGAAAGACTCCCTGATGTCACCTTCCTTAGCACCAAGGGAGTTCAGTGTGCACAAGGAATGCATGACCAGGCCCTCAGAGTGTTATTCAGAACTTCTATTAAACAGATTAATAGCCTCTTTTCTAATGAGAATATTGATAGCCCTGAATATTAGCAAAATCCTATAGCAACCTATGATTTTTCATGTTAACCAACTGCATAGCCTTACCCACCTTATAAACTACAACAAAAACATAGTCTATCTTATGCACATTTTTAGAGAGACTCTTTTACTGGATAAGGGTGGCTAAAAAGAGCACTTCTGCCATAGACAACTTACTTTGACACTTATTTACTGAGGCCACACTTCATCTGTGCGATTTTCTCCCTCTGCAAATACATCTGAGCCCTAGCATGGCTGCCATCAGAGGACATCTTTTTATTTAAGGTCTCTGCTAACTGCAAACCTTGAAACTTCCCAGAATTTAGTGTACTTGTTGGATCATTTGCCTTTTCACATAACTTGGCTAAGTGCTGCACTTAGGGGATCGTAAAGTAAGTTTTTCTTATGCTAGGGAAAGCTGTCTTCTAACATTTTCCTTCTGTGGATCACTTTTAAGAGAGAATCTCCTTATCTCACCTTTCAACAGCCAGAAGTACCCATTGCTTGGTTCTCAACATATTTCATTCTGCTGAGCACAAGCAAGAAACAGGTATACTACATGATCTAAGCTAAGCAAAGGGCACTGAGATGTTCTACTGAGGAGCACTTCATAAAACTACTGTGGGTAATGCCAGGCATTCATTCATGTTTAAATAAAAGCTTCCCCTCACAGCCCAGCATTTCCTGGGAGTCAGTGCCAGTAAGAGCATGTTACCCACAGGGAGGTGCATTATGAAACACATTGTAGCTGAAGGAAAAGGTAATTATTGCAAAATAGGGGTGGGTGAAGGTTTGGATACAGAGTCAGGATAGAGCTGTGAGGAACTATCAGGAGTCTGCCAGGGTTCCTTCGTATGCTCCAATTGTTGGTCTAATGACCTTTCTATTCCGCACCTCACATGTGCCTCTCAACTTCTATGATCCAATAGAGCCTCCCCATCACCCCCAAATCATTCCTTCTGTAGTT